AATTTAAATTATTAATACTTTAAATAGATTACTAGTAAACACAATGAATTCAAAAATAGATTACTAGTCGTAATTACTAATACTTTAATGTGGAATTTAATAGTTAATTTCAAATAAGTTTTTAAATTAGTTCCTACATCCATTACAACTATTTGGAGATATTTCCAAATTCAACGGGTGTCATTAGTCACACCCCTCATAACACATTAACTTATAAATAGGGGTAGTTTTGAAATCCAAAAAATACAATAAATCAGATTTTAAGTTATATTAGGTAACTTGCTTAGTTGAATCTTAGTCATCGGGTATTATTTGAAAAAATTGGGTATTTTAAATAGAAAACTAAAAGAAAGGGTTGTAGGTGATTTAAAATGAATTTTATGGGTCTAAGCTCTTTATATTATAAAAGGGTAAATCATGACCCATACTGGGTTGGATCGATTATATTATGTTCTTAAACACTTCACTAATTTTGGTCAAAATTCGAACCAAGTTGACCTGCTCAGTCCAGTCACGTTGCTAGTTTTATGCCAAGCCTTCATATTGCTCATCTTCTATTCGTTACGACTAATTAGTTTTTAGTGCAAAAACAATGTGCATATATATATATATATATATATATATATATATAGTCCCCTTTTATTGAGGAATTTCTCAAATAATTTTATTTGAGGAACGCCCTTTAGGGTACCATACAAATTTTTTCTCAATGATCCAAATCATCTATTTTTAAGATCTTCATTCATTGATCATCTTTGCAAAAAATTAGACAAATCGGAAACCATTTTGACATCCAATTGTGTCTTACAAAATCAATGAACACGATGCTTCAAGAAAGTACTAAAATTTCTATAACTCAAATGAGTGGTCAAATGATATCGGATTCAAGTAATTTTTTGTAGAAATGATCTTTAAATGAGTATGTACAAAATAGACTGTTTGGATTAGTGAAATACAATCCGGAGTGGGGCCTACAAGAGGTGTCCCTCAAATAAGCTTATTTGAGGGATCCCTCAATGGAAGCTCTCTGTATATATATAGACTATAGTAATGTTCACTTGTCCAATGTAAACCTAAATCATAAATACAGATAAAAATTAACCTAATCAATAGTCTAAATTTAGGGGCATGACACAATTATGAGTTGTATGAGCTATAGCCCAGCCCACAGCCCAAATTTCTTCACTTTTTTTTTATTTTTTATATGTAACTTTAGCCCACTTCTTAATCAATGCCTAACTCTCAGCCCAACCCCTCCAACTCCATTCCAGTAGTTTTTCTACTTCCCAGGAGCATAGCTTGAGTTTAATGTAATTTGCATGATAAGAGAAGATTTTTCGATATACAAATTAACATGTATGCATGTGTTTTGATAAATGAATTTCCCAATGGCCATTGCAATTTGTACCATGTTTTTTGACCACCTCTCTATACAGATGGGTTTCATATGCATTGATGGGGTCATCTGGTGGTTAGTAAATATGGTACACGTAGCATTATTGTTTCTGAACATATATAATTTAACGTATGTTTTGTAATGATGCCACATATGCCTTTTTGTACTATGTATATATATAGAGCTTTGGCAGTCAAACGTGGGATGCAGCTTTGGCAATTCAAGCAATACTCTCTTGTAACGTAAACGAAGAGTTTGGGCCAACACTTCGGAAGGCACATGACTTCATCAAGGCTTCACAGGTTAAATGGTGATATATATATATATATATATATGCATATATAATACTTTTATATAATCAATAAGTAATTAATCATACACGTTATTTTGAATTAAGGTTAAAGACAATCCTTCTGGCAACTTCACTGCTATGTACCGACACATATCTAAAGGTGCATGGACATTCTCAATTCCAGATCATGGCTGGCAAGTCTCCGACTGCACTGCGGAAGGATTAAAGGTTTATAGAGTTTTTCTACGTTAAAGATGTCATTGTTGTAACGTGGGAATTTTTATTGGCACTCCGAAAATCTAATGCACTCTGTTTATGTTTGTATAGAAGATGGATGGGAAGTGCTGGATGATTAGTTTGGAGAGTGTCAATACTATCTCGTTATATACATATACTTTTCAACATGGACAATTTGTTAATTAAATAATGAACAATATTGAGTCATCATGCATCGCATTCTTTTCTCAATTACAGGCTGCACTCCTGCTCTCACAAATGTCACCAGATCTTGTTGGAGAGAAAATGGATACAGAATGTTTCTACAATGCAGTGAATGTCATTCTTTCTTTGCAAGTAAGGAAAAAACCAACTATGATACACTTCGAATTGCTAGCTAATTAAATGAATTTCCTTTCTTTAATTAATTTTTAATACAGAGCACCAATGGTGGTTTTACTGCATGGGAGCCTCAAAGTGCACCCCGTTGGGTGGAGGTAATTAATTTTAACCCTCCAAATGTATACATGCACAATAGCAATTTTGTAATTTTTTTTTATTTTTATAATACAAGCGATATATGGATGAACTTAGCAAGGCCATACAGTTCAACAATTTCTATTTCTTCTTTGCAGAAGTTCAACCCCATAGAGTTCTTCGAAGATAGTCTTATCGAACGAGAGTACGATTCTTGAAAGAAAAAAAAAAACTTCTGTTACACATAGGTACTCTCTAATTCCGCTTTTCTAACACTTGCAAATTAATGGGGCTTTAAATATTCCAGGTACGTAGAGTGCACATCATCAGCAGTTCAAGTTTTAGTGCTCTTCAGGAAATTGCATCCCAAGCATCGAAGCATAGAAATAGACAGTTGCATATCAAGAGGAATTCGTTACATTGAAGACACACAAAACCCTGATGGTTCATGGTAATTTATTTTGTTTTAGACAACTTATTATTATAGCGAGGTATTTGAAACCGAAGATTGATAACACATGGACGAATTTAACATGGTCGCATTCCAATACTATATAATAATTTCTTAATTTTAGCGTAAAATAAATTAATTTTTCCAATTGTTTTCTAACACATAGAGGATAATTGGCATTTTAACAGGCTTGGACGTTGGGGTATCTGCTACACATATGGTACATGGTTTGCTACAGAGGCGTTAATAGCCTGTGGGAAGAACCACCACAATAGCCCCACAATTATGAGGAAAGCTTGTGAGTTTTTACTATCAAAGCAGCTAATTAATGGTGGATGGGGAGAGAGTTATCTTTCTAGCCAAACCAGGGTATGCAATGCAATGTACTTTCTTTCTCTTTGTCAATTATTATCCATCAATCCTAACATAATTAGGAACATAGAGATAATAGCCATGCCTTGACCAAAAACAAGATAAACGCCATGGAAATATCTTCATGTTGTTTATATGAGTAATTATAGTATAGCCGGCATTTCAGTATCATACAATAATTTCTTTTGTAATTGAATTTCTTATTTTTGATTCAATAACTTATCCATATATAGCCATAATAGATCACACGATATTATACATTCATCTCTCTTATTTTTCTTTCTTTCTTGAAAAAATAAAAACAGGTGTATACTAATCGAGAAGGCAACCGCGCTCATTTGGTCCAGACTGCTTGGGCCTTGTTAGCCCTCATTAATGCTGGACAGGTAAAATATTCGGTTGATTTAAAAGGATTCTTAAAATTTTTAGGGAAACGCTTGTTTAAGGAAGTAGTTTAAGGAGCTCATTGTTCTTGCCGTTCGTTCAGTATTATTTTTTTGAGTAAGGAATATACGGTTCAGCTTTTTGTAATGTATATTTGGTTTTTGTTGTTGTCATCAATTCAGGCCGACATAGATCCAACGCCCATCCATCGTGGAATGAAGTTATTGATCAATTCACAAATGGAGGATGGTGACTTCCCTGAACAGGTGATTCGTATAAACCTATTTTGTCCACAAGTTTCTTCTTTGTTGTGTATATTATATTTATATAAATATTTTGATATTATTTCATGTATCATTATAGGAAATTACTGGACTATTTATGAGGCATTGTATATTGCATTACGCAATATATCGAAATATCTTTCCGGTATGGGCTCTCGGAGAATATCGACGACGTGTTCTACTGCAGAAGTCTTGAAATGTCTGAGAAAAAGGAACATTCATACATCAAACAATGAAGTATATCTTCATCATGAATGTTTGATATCCGGGCTCCACAACTTTATAAGCTCTAAGCTTGAATGTATGGTATTCTGAAGGTGTAATTTATGTCTACCTTTCTTATACATACATACATATATATATATATATATATATATATGCACAATAAAGTTTTGAAGTGGTACTTTGATGTTTTCAAATGGTTGTAATTTGTGGCCCCATTATTGGTTTGATCATCAAGCCACATGTTATATGTATGTTGAGATGATATTGACGCGTTCTTTTATCAGGGTTGGTCCATTGATTTTGGAGCCTTGGACTGAAATAAAAATTGAGACCTTTTATGTTCAATAGTTATCTTATTTTGAACAAAAAATTTAGTAAAAGTTTCAAACTTAAGTTTGTTAGTTTATGTAAAAGAGGCCCATTACATGAAAAGTAAAAAAAAATGTGTACAAAAAATTTATAATAAAACCAAATATGCATAAGTTACACACATAAAAGGCCTTTTTGCTACTATATCTCTTGGGTTAAAAGGTGTTACAGAAGACCCCATTTTTTTAGGGGCCTTATGCCATCGCCTAGCCAGTACAACATGTGGGCCGGCTTGTATTTTATAATTATTTAACATTTTGGGTAACATGTTCGAGTTTGGCCATAGAGAGCAATTTGAAATTTTCATGAAAGGTCACCTAATTAACCACCTTTGAAGAGAATGGAACTTTGGTCCAATACCACTTTAATTGACGACACACAACAACGTAAAATTAGTACATTGGGTGCAAAAACAGATAGTGTACCATGAAAGACCAAATGTATCACTCCTTGGATTTGCTGGAAGCAAACTGGTAGATAGGCTACTTCTTTTCGCTCCCGTGTAGTACTAGTAACGCACAACACCATAAAGCTAGTACATTGTGTGCATAACACAAGTAGTGTACTATGAAAGACCCAATATTGTATCACTCCTTCGGTTAATTGGAACGTAATTAAATACATAACGTGGAGAAAGCGATAAGTTACTTATTTTTGCTCCCATGTACCATAAAATTAGTACATTGTGTTCAAAAACAGGTAGTGTACCATGAAATGAAAGACCCAATGTATCACTCCTTGAGTGAGTTGGAAGGCGAAATAGTAAGCATAGTGGAGAAAGCAATAGATCATTTTTTGAAGAGCCATGTATTGCTTGCATGACCAAAAACATCATAAATCTAGTACACTGTGTCCAAAAGCAGGTAATGAAAGCATGAAATAGCCAATGTAACTCCATGGACGAGTTCGTAGACAAAATCTTATACATGTTATAACTCAGGTGGAAATATACACCTACATGTTCCTTAATCTATACTACTGCTTATTGGAGCATTGATATTAGGCATGGCCTATAGCTTGTGAAGGCTGGACGATAACACAGGGCCCCCAAATATTTAGAGCCTCCAAATGTTTTTTTTTCCAGCCCACTTTTACAAGAAAATTCAGAGTTTATATAGAAAGAGGCTTTTGGACAAAAGAAAATGGGCCTCCTTGTTCTCTCTCTCTCTCTCTCTCTCTCTCTCTCTCTCTAACTAAGATGTTGAATATAGAAAAATCAGGTGAATCCTTAATTTTGAACTTTTTAACCTAATGTCAATGTTTGTATTTTAAATCCTGATCTTTAGATTTAACCCTTAAGCTTTTCCCATAAAAATCCACCCTGAATGAGAAAATAATGTTGCTTTGTTCATAAATTTGTCAACAACGTTTTTGTTCTTTAAGAAAATCAGGGCCTTAACTTCACTCTCTGGACAGGGCTTCCAACATCAATGGACCGGCCGTGTGATTGATACGGTAGTAGAAAAATAGAAAAATCATACAGTGGTACTCGACCATATAGTAGTAGAAAGTTCAAGTTGAAGGGCATTTAATCAAAAAATCATTCAACTGATCATGTCTATAAATTTTATGCTTTTCTCTTGAGTAAGTTTGCTAAAATTGGATTTGGGGTTTTGGATAATAATGTTAGATGTGTAGATGTCTAACCCATTAAAGTGTGGTCTTATAATCATCGAAGGATTCTAAGACTTTATATCAATTAGGAGTTCAAATACAACTAAACCTGCAGCTCTATTAAAGTTAGTGTTTTAAGGCTAATATAAGAGCTAGAAGGATTCCTATCTTAATTGTGGATTAGATGTTATAAACCTAATGCAATAAGGACTTCTTAAGAGTTTCTTGATGGGCAAGACTCTTAGGTAGATGCATATAAATACAAGTGCCCTTGCTCAATCGATCAAGCCAACCTGCACAAAAGAATTCACCATCTAGAATAAGTGTATGAAGGGATCGGATTGAGGAGATGTGCTCTTGTATATTCTTGATGTGTGTTCTATCATGTGCAATCACTAATAAAGTTTACATGTGTTATTAGAGCCTAGGCTGCATGTTTTAGAACCGAAAGTAATCATCCATCTCTTCTGCTACTTTGCAATTGGGCGGCACATTGCAAAGGCTTCTTTCTCCTTTTTGCTACCTCTGACCAAGTTTCCATATTTAAGGATTGGGGTATGATGTTTCTTGTTGAATATGAAATGATTGCATGAAGATTTCACTGCTTTTCGATTTGGCTTCTTTTGCCTTATGGTTTGTGTTTTGTTTGAGGGAAAACATGTGGGCAGGTTGTAAAGTATACTAAACCAGAAAGCTAAAACCTAAAACTGAAAGCTACATAAGCATGTATCGTTTTCTAATCTTTTGTTTCACTTTTTCGATATAAAGTCTTTATTATTCATGCTTGAAAGGCTATTGATCAAAGACTAAAAATCTCAATTGCATAAGCTAAGCAGGCCACAACGGCTTAGCTGTTACAAGAGTGGTTTTCATTCGACAGTTTGGTCAATAATTGCATCTATACTAGTAGCCTTCTGTATTATTCTCCATCCATAGATGGGAATTGTACATATTGATAACAATATGATGGAACAATCTGGATAGCAGACTGCATAGACTAGCAAGTCTTCTCTACATCCACAGATTGAATTTTCTTGCACAGGAAGTGATGTAGTACAGCCTGTATGTATTAGATTAAGCACTGAAACAATAGAACATAGAAGAATATAAGAGACCGAGGAGAAGAAATAGAGATCGAAAAGACGAGATAAAGGATAGAAACAGTAGAACAAGAAGAATATCGGAGATCAAGGAGAAGAAATATAGACCGAAAGGACGAAATCAGAGAGTTCTAGGAAAAGGTTTACTCAACATTCAAATCTGAATTTTAAAGAACTACATGGAGTTATTTATGGAAAACTAAAACCTAGACATAATAGGATAAAAATCCCTTGCTAAAACAGAAATCCTAACCCAAATAAAATAGGAAACTTAAAACTAGAAAATCTGGAAATCTGGAAAAGTAGAAATCCTACTAGAATTGGGAAAACTAGAGAATCTAGGAAACTAACAAATACATTAGGCAACTAATAAATTTAGGTCATATGCGTCCTGCATCAGGAAGTTTGTGCAGTTTATTGTCTGGGATTTTGGAATATGGTAATTTACACCCATAGGTATAAATTAACGTATTTAAGTAAAGATTTTGGGGACAGTTTATCCATGTATATTCATGGTGGAGTGATTCAAAAGACAATATATGTGAATTAATAGGAATTTTCTCTCTATCCACAGATGTGAGAATTTAACCTACGAAAGAAATTCATATATTAACTCTTTTGGTGATCACTAAAAACATGTTTGATTCTCAACCCACAGGTGTGAATCAATAATGTACAGATATTTAAGCACTATGGGACAACTTATTCAGATATGTTTGTGTTTTAAAAACTTTTTTGGAATGTCACAATGAACCTTAACGCCATTAGGTGCATATACGGTTTTGTTTTGTCATATGGATATTGTAACATGATATATGTCCTATTTATCAGTTTTGATAAATCTCACATGTTTGAGTTGTTGATGATAATTTATTAATAGTGATCTTAATTTATCAGTTTTGATAAATCTCACATAAAAGTTGTTTTCATGACTCAAGGAAAGATAATTTTTGTTGATCACATAAAGGGAAACATGAGCTATTTTGGAACTTTCTTGCTTGGCTATATTGTTTGTTGATGTATGGACATGTTTGAGACTTGGTTGTCTTTTGTATGCATTTAAGTGAATGTTTTGTAGCGTCAATGCAACTTCACATGTAAAAGGATTGATCCGTATGTCTAAAAGTATGAATTCGTATTTGATGGATTGAATCATGTAAAGTTGGATTAATTCATAAGGTTGTGTTCATCATAAAATAAATTGGCTGTTTTGTAAGGTCATGCAATATGAAGCTTAGATCATGTTTACGGATATTGTATTACTGTTATTTCTTAATTGAATGAGTTGTGTGCATCAAATTGCACTTCTAATTAAGGCTCACTAATTTTGTTTTGAATCAAAAGTGGCACATTGCAATATATAAGATACGAAAGATATGAAAGATTGATTGCTCAAAGTGTTTAAACTTGATAAAGTGATATTTTATATTTTACCTTTGTGATATGGTATTAATTGTTTTGCATCTACATGGAACTTAATGTTGAATGTTTAGAATGCATAAGGATAACTAAATTTTGAGGTGTTTATTGTTAGTTGACAAATTTTCAATTTTGAACTACGCTAACGTGTCATCCATTAGGGTGAAGTTATAATTCGAATTAGCTAATGACAAAACTAGGCGAGAAGGATGATTTTCTATAATTTTTATATATGAAGAATAATGTCTCTAGTTTGTTTCCATGAATTTTTATGCTAATCCGACTTATAAATTAATTATGGTAAATTCTCAAGTAATCACATATCATTGCTGGAAATTTCTTGATAGTTTTGTGCATTTAGGCTAATACTGTGAAGTACATTAGGAGCATGCCTTGAGAGTTCTTTTACACCCTTTTGTCACAGTGTTTATAATCATAAGGTTATTGGTGCACTATATATTGAAGTGGC